TTGACTCTCAGTTATAGAGGTAATAGAATCTACTGATTGTTGTAACGTTATTACTTACATGATAGAAGGTCTTTGATTTCTTCATATCACATCGTGTATGTCTATTTCTGCCCATCTTTACTGATTAATTTAAGGTACCCAATAATAATTTTTACATCTTGCTTTGTAATGATACACCCAAGAATCATAATACAAGTCGCTCTTAGTAAGCATTCGTCCACTTTATCACAAACTGATATATGATTTGTATGATATACGAGGTTATTAAGGGCATTTCACTTACTGTGTTTGGTATATGTTTTCTTTTCTTTCCTGCCATTCTTATGGTATCGAATGACGTCAAGATTGTTCTTCCATTTTTCGTTTTCATGTGTTCCTTTTTAGAACATTCGAGAAGGTTCTCTCTAAATTGCTCATATATATATATATGTGCCTGTGTTCTCAAGAGTTCAGTTTTTCTGGAAGTTCAATTGACTTGCTTTTACAGTTCAGTGACTGAGTTATTGTTTCTTCTCGATTGGCAGATAGTACTGTGATACGATTTGTAATAAAGGAAGTGTGAATATATATATATCTTATACGATCATTTTTCGTTTTCCTGTATCTGGGTTTATTAGGAAAATCTTTTATATTAGAGTTCACTGGTGGGCGTAAATATCTTCGTTGTTTCATCACAACATCGTCCAATATACACTTCATACAAACTCTGCATCACAAGGTGATCTCGTACAGTTTGAGTTGAGCAGTGATATCATCTTCTTGGTTAACAGTTAACGTGTCTGATGCCTACTGGTCAGGAATACTCCACCGACTTAAAGAACGTCTTTGTTCGAGTGATCGCATTTGTGGAAGCGGAAAAAACTGGCCCTCAAATATCCCTCAACAACACCACAAAAAGAATTCAAGCAATCCTTGGATTATCGAAAGGGTCTGTTTTTAATCTCAAACAAGAGATGAAGCGCTTGAAAGATGAGCAAGAAGCTGACGTGAGAAGAGAGAGAGAAAGAAGAAGAAGAAGCAAAAAAGAAGGAAGAAATAGCCAAGGTGCAACAGAATGCCAGGATGCGACTTCGTCCTCCCTCGACAACGACGGAGAATCCGATTTATTCTCGATTAGATCAAACATCCGCAGCTGCTTCTCCCTCAATATCACATAGCAAACGATATTGGGAACCGTCTATTCCTACAACTGAGTCTCCAATGAAACAAGGAAATTCAGGTCGTCCACGCTTGATTCTTAACGAGCAAGGGCAAAATGCCATTAGATATCATTTTCATGTGATGCTTACCGAAAAATCTATCCGACGACTAAGACATTACTTGATCGATTGCTTGCGGAACACCATGATTTCCAGGTGCGCTCGATTACCACATTATGGCGCCAGATGCGTCAGCTTGGATTTTCGTATAAAGCAACTGCAAAAAGTCCCGTGCTTCTTGATGAAGTACATTTTGTTGCTCAACGCGCGTCTTACTTTCGTTACCTCGACGAACTCCGTGCTGCAGGTGCTCTTATATATTATCATGACGAGACGTGGCTGGGTGCTGGGGAGGAGAAACGTAATATTTGGGTTGATGACCAAGGGAAAGGTCGGCTGCGCAAACAGGATGGACAGGGAAAGCGCATTGCCATTTCGGCAATGATGGGATTGGAAGGTTTCGTTGAACCGATTGATGTCTGGCAGTGCGACAAGGATCATGCTATGAACAGTGAACGATTTCACAAGTGGATAGAAGATGCTGCTTCTCGTCTTCGGATTAAACATGGTCCTGGTCAACCTATTGCCATAATAATAGACAACGCACCGTGGCACAATGTATTGTGTGATGATACCAAACCACCACAACGTGCTTGGACAAAATATAAACTCCAACAATGGCTCACTAGAAAAGGTATTGCATGGGATGTCAAAATGTCCAAGACCGAGTTGCTCAAACTTGCATTGTCAAATGTACCACCGAAACGATATGTGACTAATACAATTCCCCGAGCCTTCGACGTCGAAATCTTGCGACTTCCGGTAAAGCATTGTACACTCAATCCCATAGAGCTTGCGTCAAGGGGGAAAAAGCGGCTCCTGGCGGCTCCCGGCGGCTCCTTATAGATCCTAGAATCCATAGAAGCCGGCAGAATCCACCAGGAACCGGTAGGAGCCGGTAGGAGCCGCCAGGAGCCGGTAGGAGCCGGTAGGAGCCGGTAGGAGCCGGTAGGAGCCGGTAGGAGCCGGTAGGAGCCGCCAGGAGCCGGTAGGAGCCGCCAGAATCTACCAGGAGCCGCCGGAATTCACCTGAATCTACCAGGATCAAGAATAAATACTATCAGAAACCCTTCGAAAGCAACATTGATTAATTGGGCCAAGCTTAAGATTGACTTTAAGAAATCAAGAGAGAGGGTTAATGATATAATACTTATGTACTCATACTTACAAGTAACCATTAGACCTACGATAGTTCCAGCTCACGAACAGATTCAAATGATTTATTTAGCGATTGGAATCGATCAGCTCATATCAAAATAACTGCNAAAACAGCGAATCACCAAGGCAACAAGATGGCGCATTCTAATATGGACTTTTTTCATTTCAGTAACCGATGAAGGCTCAATTGTCGGGAGCTCAACTGTCGGGAGGCTCAACTGTCGGGAGGCTCAACTGTCGGGGGCTCAATTGTCGGGGCTCAACTGTCGGGGCTCAATTGTCGGGAGCTCAACTGTCGGTGTACCCAATGAATCGACTATGTATGCGTTCTTTTGATCTCAACATCTAATACTAGAAAAGAATGCTTAAAATATTTTAGATTCATTCTTTTTTCTTGTATTGATTTATTCATACGAATCAACGATATATTATAAATATGAAAGATTTGCTCCGTTCTATTTGTTTATTCTCTACTTCTCAAATATTTCTATTATTGTGTGACTAATGAATAGAATTACTTTTAATTATTTTACTTTATTCACATACATACATTTTCAAAGCAAATATACAAATTATCGCGATAACATGAAGGTTTTCTCATATTATTTTTGAAATTCTTTACTTTCATTAGACTCAATCTATTGAATATCAATTCGATATGTTGAAAACACACAGAATTCTTATGGATATGAACCTGATTATCACTCGTTTTTAGTTTTGATCACTCTATCAATGTTTTATTCCGATCAGTTGTCTATGATTTAATGTGAAATGTTCATATTTAATGATTGCTGCTCAAGAATCAACGTAGCAAGCATTTTAATAATGCATTATACTGTGTTATAAATCAATCGATCAATCAGCACGACAAACGTAGGCCAGCATTCATGTTCGAAGCGTTGCTCTGTTTTTTGTAAAGTATTGTTTTTCTTTCTATCGATTTTTTTTGTCAAGGTTTCTAAGGAACAAGCTCATTTTTCTTTCTCATTTTCATTTCTCGTTACAAGTAATTGAAAGAAGGTAAAAACACGATTCACATATTCAGTAGTATTTCTTCTCTAACACATACACAAACCTCATGTATTCCAGTTCGATATCATATGACAGCAGAAGTTCGTGATCAAGAATATTTGAGTAATAGATGCATTCTAGATTTCATAAGCAATTAAAGCAAAAGAGCAGCTAAAAATATTTGACTTAACATATTATTTTTTTTATTAATAATCACTTAACATTATATAAACAGTGAATGAACGGAATTTATATCGATTGACTGTTACTCAAAATAAATCTCTTTGTATTCTGGCCTATAAAAGACTATACTTATTGCTCTCAGTCAACATGACATACATTATAATTTTTTTTTTCTTTCTACTCGACTTTGTACATGTATATCGCATGCGATTTAAAAAGAAAATATGTAACAAATTAATGCATACCTAGGTCAATTATGCTCAGCCGTTTACCGATCAATTGCGACAGTTATATTGTCGTCAAGGAGTAGCGTGACAAAACGGCAACTGCAAATGTTCGTCGGATAAATATCATAAAACATTGTATGTATCAACTGTAAACAATTTTATAAGGATTTCTACCGTATTTCGTCGTAAACAACCGTTAACGATGGCAGGCAGAGGTTCAGTATAAGGTTTGATGAGCTATATTTAAGTGAAAAAATTTTAAAATAGAGCATTGATTGTCATAGTAAAACTTAATTTAACGCAAATTGTTATTAATTGAAATTTAAAAAAAAAAGAGTTCAGTTTAATTCTGGATTTTCAAGTGTCCTAAAAGAAAGAGCATGAAACACTAAATAAATATTGAAATCATCGTTTCAAATCAGATCATCTTATGAGAATTTTCAATGAATTTTTAGCTTTTAAACAATACAATCATTATGATTAGTGAAAATTTCAGCTATGAGACAAAACTATCAATTTTGAAAAGTAGAATCTATTCTTTTAAATAAGATCTCACTGGGGTAGGTGTGGATGAGATTTCTTTGAAACCCACACTCACATCCTTTGTTTTAGAACACTTGAAAATCTTGAACTACATTGAAATTTTTTTATCACAAATTTCAATAAATAATATTTTACATTTAATTAAGTTTTAGTATGAAAATCAGTGATTTTTCAAAAAAATTTTTTTTTTTCATTAAAATATAGTCTGTCAAATCTTACACTAAATACCATCTGAAAAGTCTTTCAATGATTGTTAAATAATTAATAATTGATTATGTAGTAAAGATGTGCTAAATCCTTTTTCGCTGGAGACAATTTCTGTGTGGTAAAAGTTGAAATAGTTGTGCCCAAAATATTGTTTGTATCTCAATTTTTCAAGAGGCTGTGTGAAAATGCGAATCGTAGAGAAAAGCTCAGATTAATGGTCGTTTGCCCTGAGTTTCACTTTTTTAATTTGATTATTCTATTGTTCATTTATGAATTTTTCGTTTAAATTGAGAATAGTTGAATGTCATTCTTGATGTGAATGGGGTTTTGAAAGAGTTGTCTATTGTTCTATTTGTGTTACAGATTTGAATTCATTTGAGAAGAAATATGACCAATATATTCAAACAGTATTTTACTAAGCTCAACGAGAAAGTGAGTACGTTGTATGCCAACAGTGTACTTGGCTTAGTGTTTGATTTAATTGAACTGAAGACTGGTGTTCAATCTTCTATTGTTGCTATGGGTATGTTTTGAATCGATCTTTTCTTGTTTGTATCCATACTGTTATCTTTTTCTATAGCCCTATTCAGTATTCTTGTGATCTATCTAGTGTTCGGCTGGTGCAATGATTTTGTTTGTAACTTCATTGGATTACTCTATTCAGCATATTCATCGTGAGTTAAATATTTTGTCTAAATATCTTGCTCTTTTCAATTAAAGTACTATTGTAAGATGGATGTAAAACTTGTTTCGAAATCTATCCAGTTTGAATTACGAATGATTTGTGTTTTGGTATGTTAAAGGAGATCTTCCTTTTCCTGTAGTATCTCAAGAACAGACCAATGAAACTTTCCATATAGACAGATTTTGAGTAGTAAAGTAAAAGTTGAGCTAGGATAGATTTGGTCAGATCCTTTCTAATCATAGATTTAGGAAATCAGAATGACAAATGAAAAAAGGTTTTTGCCTATCTCTTTTGCCCATTATGGTGGATTTTTTATAGCGAATTTCTGTACAGGACGGTACGTGACAATATGATGGAGTAAAGGGGAGAAATTTAATTTTGGGAGAAACAAAGAAAATTGTCGCATTTGTTTTGTTTATTTTTCAGATTTCCTTGTATACTCTGACGATAGAACTTCTAAGTTTTAGTTGTCAAAATTTATTTGTCAGTTCGAGAACACTTCAGAATATACCATGATTGAAAACACGTAAAATTCGCTGTTTTTTGTACTTCTGCGAAGTAGATGCTATAAGTAGTAAAACATTATTTCAAATAAAGTTATGATAATTACAATACTAAATAATTATTTGATGTTGTTTCAATAATATAATTTGATAAAATACCTATATATCGTTTACTATAATGAATTTCTATTTTAATAGGAAAATCTGATGTACATTCCATTATAGAACTAGTCTTTGCCATCAGTGAATAGAGTTTGATTTGCGAAAAACAACCATGTATACAAGTCAGAAAAATCCAAACCTATTGGTAAGAAATTCTCTACCGGACTGGTTACAACACTGGGACACACATTTAAAAATGTGTCTGATTCTAAAAAGAAAACGGTTCTCGTACGAGAAATATATTGAGAAGAAATCTATTCATTCGAAAGAAATGCGTAGATGATTGTTGAATAAATGGATTTTGATTAGAGCCGATATCATCTTGACTAAAATTTACTTTTTAATAAGTCTTCAGCAACATCACGACATGCATAATTCAGGATTTAAAGTAAAAATAAAATAAATCTTGATAAACCTATGATGGACTGGACATAATTTTGGAAAAAAATATAATATTTGTAAATTATTGAGTTCTAAGGTTAAGTGAAACTATCTTTTCTGTTAAACAACTGCTAGCATCTCAATGCTGATTCATAACTTTAGATCAGAATGTGATAACGTGAAATCTTAATTAAGAAAAATAAATTTTATTGTAGAATGTTTGGCTAGAGTCGTTTGTGATGACTTAACTATACTATGAGAAAGTTTAAAATCTAATCAATCTTTTTCAACATTGTTTCAGCAACGAGAAATATAGAAAAGTAATTTCAAGACGAGTTTCAGATAGTTTCCCATGCAAAAGTCTGCAAAAAGGTCTTTGAATAACACGATAATAAATTCTTTAACCAATAAAGAACATGACTACAGCAAGGTAATATTTTATCTTCTGTTTGAATATGAGAAGAAAGTCTGAAAAGAATAGCTATACAGATGATACATATATGATATCTACAATAAACATAGAAAACTATATCGAATAGCATAGATTTTGAAAGCAAGTACGTGGCACCAAGGTTCGACTTCATGACATACTCTCAATATTTGTTTATTTTTAAATCCCCTTGTTTCCTTTCATTCGTTTTCTTATTTGTTTTTACTTTAAAAATATCAACATAAAGATTCATTTTCAAGTATTCGCTATATGTTCGTAAACTATACTTTCACTCGAGATTTCACTAATTGATGCACTCGTTTTGTTTACTATCAATGTTGATTTCTCTCTCTATGAGAATGAAAGTCGTGACAAACTGAGACAGATAAAATTAACATCACTTCAATTACATATGCTCATGAAACTATTTCAAATAGAATATTTATCAGTAAAATTATATTACAATAACGACTAACTTTCATTTGTGTATGATTAAGAAGTTTCATTGATTATATACTTATGATATAATTCAATTTTTTGAAACTTTTTATTAGGTTTATGGCAATTCAATTGCCTGGCATATTCGATGAGAAACGATTGTTGATTTATTGGATTATTTATTCATCACTTGGCTGTATCGAATATATCTTACATGGTTTATGTGATTTCTTACGATTCTATTGGCTTGGTAAATGCATTTTTCTCGTCTGGTTTCTGAAATCTGGATCATCATCATCAACTGAAATGACTTCTGAATCCGAGACGACTGATTTGATTAAGAAAGAACCTACTGTCGCGCGCAAAAGAGCAACACAAGGTGACCGTAAAAGAACTCAACTCAATGGTATGTATAAATCATACTCCAACATTATCATTCAATCGAATAAACCTACTGATTAGATAGTTTTATTTTTTATCTCAAGCGTTCATTGTATGTATACATAATCAATAGCTCCTAGTGAACATTGGAACTTTTATTTGGTTTTAGGCAAATGTTGCTCTGAAAAAGAGAACGATCTGATTTAAATGTTGCACTTATAAGACATTTCTAGCATACATTTTACTTCGAACTTAATATCAATAATTGATTCATTACTGTTTTAACAAAGGGTGTATAGTTTGATAATATTTCGAAATTATTACGTTTTCAGTTCACTTAGAAAAATTCTTACTTTGGAATTGTCGGATAATCATAGAACATTGATTGATTGCTTATCATCCGACTATTTACGAAGAAATGAAAAACAAATAGATTCATTTTTATTTTATCATTCTCCCACGTGAATATTGAATATCATATCATGTAATCTTGGTCTATAATTTTGTAGAATATGCCTGCATATTATAGGAGAGAACTGGTGGATCTAACATTACCATCGTTTACTTTAAGATTCATTTATCATCGTATTTGAGGAAACGTTATGTTTGTATTTCAAGAAATTTCACAAATTATTGAATGATACACGGCTACTAGGTTTTATCGACCACTGATGGTTATGTCTCTTGTGTTAAGCTCTATTCCCTTATTATTTAAAGATTCATCTTACTTTGATGAATATTCATTCAAGCTAATTGAAATACTAGTCAAATGTTTTTTTTTTTACTTTAGTACCACCACGTTCTACAGTTCTTAGTCGTGATGCCAAGTGGATACAGAGTGCTGTCACTGTTGCCGGAGGAAATGGTAATGGCAGTAATCTAAATCAATTATGGGCACCTTCTAGTGTATTTGTCGATGATGATCAAAATGTCTATGTCGCTGAGCCTGTCAACGATCGTATTGTTGAATGGAAAGCTGGTGCAAAAGATGGTCGATTGGCCGCCGGTGGTGGTGAACTCATGGAAGGAACCAGCAAATTGGGTAGTCCATCAGATGTAATTATTGACAAAAAGACGGATAGCTTAATTATTTGTGATACTGGTAGACGACGAGTAATTCGATGGCGTCGTGAAGCTGATACAGAAGATGCAACAATTGCCACAGACATCGATTGCAAAGGTTTGACAATGGATGAAAATGGATCTATCTACGTTACCGACAATGGAAGAGATGAAGTTGTACGATATGATATTGGAGATAGTGAAGGAGTGATAGTTGCTGGAGGAAACGGAAAAGGTGATGGTCTAAATCAATTGAATAGTCCTTATCGTGTTTTTGTTGATCAAGACTATTCGGTATATGTTTCCGATGAAGATAATCATCGTGTCATGAAATGGACAGATGGTGCTACCGAAGGCGTAGTCGTGGCTGGTGGTCAAGGAGATGGTGATAGTCTTTCACAGTTAAAATACCCTCGAGGAGTTATTGTAGACCAATTAGGTACTGTCTATGTAACTGATTACGGAAACGCGCGAATAATGCGTTGGCTCAAAGGCGCTACACAAGGTGATATAATTGCAGGTGGAAACGGTGAAGGAGAAGAAACTAATAAATTAACATGGCCTAATGGTTTAGCATTTGATAGACAAGGTAATGTCTATGTTGTGGATGCAGGCAACGCTCGTGTTCAAAAGTTTGATATCGCTAGAAACTATTAATTATTCACAAGAGAACTCTATCTATAATGTAGTTGTATTAATTTACAACTGACTAAATAACACACCATTTATTATTTTTAGTTCCTTCAATTAGACGTATTTACATTGTTTGATGAGTTTAAAATAAATCATCTATTCAAATCCAACTCGATACACAAATAAGTATAATATACAAAGCAAGGCTGTGAGTATGGATGTGGTTATCGATTAAGAGATGTGGATCCGCATCCCACCCACACCCCGATTAGTTGAGCTACGGTCGGAACAAAGAAAACAATAGAATATTTGAAAAATATCTTTGATTACTTTTCGAAAGTGTTTTTGTCTAATTGTTTATCAATGTATTCTCTAGCATTATTTGCTTCTGCTTCTATGGGAAACATTCTCAAGACTAAAAACTTTTGTAAGATAACTGATAAATGTTAATCTCTAGAAATAAAAGAGCATTGTTGAATATATATGTTTGGTTCATATAGGATCTCATAGTAAACTTAAACATATCCAAAGTAATCACATGAAAGAATAATTGCAAGATCTTTTTTTCCTCCATTACAAGAGATTTATCTGGCTTTAATTTGATACAATCATTGTTTTTCAATAAACTTCGTATTCTGTTTCTAAAAAAGCAACACTGCAATCAAAACTAATTAAATTTTAAAAACGAAAATCCTACAAAATTCAATTGCTTGTCTACATGGACGTTGACAAGGTTCAAAATATATAACTATCACGAGACTAAACTCTAGTTAGTTTTAGTAGTAGAACATTTTTGCTCAGATATGTATATTTAACTATTAACTCATTATTAGATTAATGGCATTTATCTTTAGTTCAGTTTATTTTTTGTATAATCAGAAATCTATATTAGAATGACGAAAATGATTACATAAACCCTTGTACATTTGCAAATAAAATATAAAAACTCAAATGAAAAATTGATGAAACATGGCTTGTTTCCAGTTATTTTCAAAATAAAAATCATTTTTGTTGACAATTTTTATCTGTCTAAGTATTCTTGTGAAGTTTGTTATTCATTAGCATGCTGTTGCTGATTACCTTTAGCTATGATTGATTTTCTAAATGGAATGCTGCTTATTGGAATAGTCTTGTCAACTATTCTCGCCATATACTTGCTTAAATCACGAAAATATTTTTCGATTGTCTAGTTATCCAGCATTAGAATATGAGTCTATTTAGAATGATTACTATTTGAATATTTAATTTTCCTATGTCTGTGAAATTTTCTTCGGGTATCACAATGATAGTATAACAAATAGTTCAATTAATCTAATTTTGAGAACAACTAATGCTTTTCAAATAATACACGCTACTATGTCCGTGTTAAATTCAATGAATGCAGTAAACAAAGTGATAAATACTTCAATATCTACACCAACGAAAACGACAATAATTCATAGAAATAAACCAAATTATTTTATTTTTTATTACTTTTAGCTTTTTAGATTGCATAATAGGCGTCGCATATGATGATATGATTGATCAATGACTCATGCTTGGCATTATCCTTAGCAGATACAAAAATATTAATTGAACAAATGCTAAATACGTTAATGTATCAACTATGTTAAGAAGTGGTTGTCCATATAGACCGTGTAAAGAATTTTACGATGAACCTTTTGAGTCTGAATGTGACTGTTCAAGAATAAAGCTGAATGAGATATTCATAAGATACGAAGAGCACCATTATTTCTGGGGTGAGTGTGGCATATTGTCGTGGGTAGGTGAGTCTAGATGCCGGTGTCGGCGTGCTCGTAATTCTATATCCGCCCACTCTCACACGCATCACCCACACCCAAGGTAATCACAAAACTTAGGATCGTGTCATATAACATTGAAAATTCTGAATGCATTCTAGATTTTTAAGTTCTCATTTATCTACAGCCGGATTTCTACTGGAGTTTCATGACGTGTTGCGGTAACTGGAATCGGATTTGTCTATCTTTGATTACAGGAATCATTTGATTCTAAAATCAAATATAGAAATGTTTTTAACTGTTTGCCCCGTAAGTTAATGAAAAATAGATTAAAAAAAAGCGGGAAGAATGTGACGTAAAATTTTTTTAATTTTTTTACAAGACTTTCAAAAACACAAACGTTCGAATATGTGTATCCTTTTCCCTTCTAGTTTAATATCGTTGTACTAATAAGAAAAAAAGATGATTAATGTCGGTTTTACAAATAACCCTCGGTTTGACTAGGTAAAAACGACTATGCAAGCTAAAAATAAAGAAGTTGATTTTTTGAAGCGTATGCATAAACTGAAGTCGACGAAATGCCTCCACGCAATAGGCCCTCAAGTTTTTGATACTCCATATATATGATTTCCTCTATCATGGTGATTTTCGCAATGCTAGTAACATGAAGCTTCTCAACAAACTCGATATTAGAAACATCTTTAGCATATGTGATTTCTCATTAGAAGAAAAACATAGTGGATCATTTCAATGTGCTGCGGATCGACGTGAACGACTTAAATGAAGTCGACATTCGTCAACATTTCGATCAAACGAATATATTTTTGCATGATGGTCAATCCAAGAACGAGAAAATTCTAGTTCACTGTCAAACAGGCGTTTCTCGTTTGTCCACATTCGTTCTTGTTTATCTGTTGAAGTAAAAAAAAGCTTTCGTTTGTTGTTTCCGAGCTACCAGACTTTTATGTTTCATTCTTCAGGTACCACAATTATACATTGTACGAAACTTATGATTACCTAACCGATCGGCAACACATTGCTGGCTTAAATCACGGCTCTTTTTGCTGCAATGAATTTGTTATGAGGCAGGTTTGTGCAAAAGCAAATCCAGCAATGCAGCATGTAATCTCATCGAACCATTCAAAACTGAAGGAGTCTCTACCATCGTCGAACTGATCCGTTGAATTCAAAGTCGGCATCTTTGTGATGTCTAGTATTGTTAGAAATCTTTTAGCTGATGAATGATTTTAAAAAACAAGATTTCTTCCCATGTGCAAAGCAGCAAGAATCGTTTGTTTTGATTGCAATCAAAATCTATTGAATCCTTTATTCAATCCAACTATATACATGAATATACAAATTTTCTATTAGATATTACGAGACCAAGTCGATTAAGGGTGCTTCCCCCTTCCGAAAAACAGAAAATGTAAATTTTGGTCGAATTTATCGATTTGTGATTTATAGCGGGTTAGATAGAGCAAAGTGTCTACTCTGTTATACACTAGTGTTTATTGATTTAACGTTGAGATTTAAGGGCCTTACGTAAGCTTTCCTTCTGCACCCTCACAAAGAAGAATATAAGATTTTTCGGAAAAATTTGATTTTCAGAATCTTTCAGGTTTCTCTGTTAGGACTACGTAGTGGTGGATACCTTTATATGTGTTCATCGGAATCATTGTAATCTGTAATATATGATAAATTAGTAGAAAATTCTTGTTACATCAGTCTATGGAGAACATGTATCAAATTATGATACTGAAACTTGTTTTGCGTTTTTCTCAAAATAGGATTTTTGATTTTTACATTTCCGTGCGTCCCAGATTTCTCCGCCAATTTAAGCGCTAGAAAGTTGGAGTGGTGTCAAAATGTAGGCAAAACTGAGCTCTACAGCTTAACAGAGCCTCATTTTCCAATTTATCCCTAAATGTTTACTAAAAACTAATTGGTCTCAAGAAAACCCCGAGGTTTTTACGAATTTTGCGGGAGAAGTTTTCTAGAAACTCAAGCGAGGGAAAAATTGGAAAACGGGGCCCTGTTAAGTTGTAGCGGTAGGTGATGACTACACTTTAAAACCAACGCCGACTTTCTAGCAGCTGAAATGGCTGAGAAATCTGGGTCGTATGGGCACCTATATTTTCGCCCATAATCATAAGCTAACTCTTTGTAGGCACAATATATCAAGTTGAAATTTTTACTGTGAGATCCCAAGTTCGAAATACATCTTTTCTGAAAATTTAATCAACACCAGACGCTTGGAAAAAACTTTTTTTTGAGGGGGCCCCTTGAAAGTTCCAGATAGAAACCTAGGTTTTTAGTACATCCTCATAAAAATCTCATTTTATCCTATTTGAACTACTTAATACCATTTAACAGCTATTGTCAAAGCATTTTGGAAAAAGCAAAGTGCTATGAAATATTCTTTCGAACTGAAAAATACTATGGTAATATTTTGTAGGAAGTCAGTTGAGATTGCTTCGATAGGAGAACTTTTGCACGTATATCAAGCGCTTTTTCGAAAAATGATAGTACATTTGTACACTTATTTGTGTTGCAGTAAGTGACAATTGTTGTATTGTATGACATGGACTGTGGCGTAGTCGGGATCGGACCTATGCCAGAACTCAATTTCACCATCGTAATTTATGGAAAAAAAGGGAGGGGGGCGGGGAAGAGCAGTTCTTTCTTCTTGTGGCCTGTTAACTGTAGTCAAAAGTCAATAGACAGGGCCGGCTCACTCAGTCTTGGCTAACCGAGTTGGTGATTCTGCCAGTTTTCTTCGATGGTATACAAATGTATCTCCAAATTCTTATCGAATAAGCTCGTGTTGTATAGCTTTTTGCGTTGATCATTCTGGCTAAACAAAAGATCTTGCATTCAAAACTTAATACGAGAAAAATCAATGAAATACTTTAAATGAATATTTCAGCCAATTTTTTGATTCCAAATGTGTTCTTGCTCAACACGTCACACAGTTATCCCTTTCATATTTTACGAATGGCAATATTTTAGGTTCATATTTGCTTACAGCATTGATTAGTGTCTAATATTATGTATTCTTGAATATAGTTTCTTAATACTTTTCTATATCTTTACATTAGCACTCTTTTACTAGACAAATAAACAATGAAGAAAATACAAAAAAGTTAACTTATGATTTCCCCAAAAATGAAATTCTCGCACTGGTGATGTATGCAGTTCGAGAGATCAGTAACTCCTCTATCGAACCCTGTAATTGAATTTTTATGAAAGTATCATGAGGTGATAAAACCGGGTCAAAATGCAAAA